AATCAAATAGTACACAAAATCGGTACATTTGTTAATTGTTTTTTGAGAACCGTTAAGCTGCCTGACGCTCTTAACCTAGTTTAGTTTCATTTTTTTGTTCTGACTGAATTCATTTGAAAGATCGATTGTGACAAAATAAAAAGGGTAAGACTTACTGATAGTAAAGTGGCAAGCCAAAAAACTAACCGGTTTTGTTTAGCAATCTCTCATGTTGAGCTCGAACATGGGTACTTTCACCCCCTATTAGAACCACTGTTCTAAATGATCTCCACACGCTATACGGTTATCATTACTTCATTTTCGGAACACTGTTAAACTGATGACAAATAGTTTTCTCATGTCATTACTCCAAAAAAAATTACCACAGCATAAAGTTTTGCTGGCGTTGTGTTGTGTAACGAATCATATTTGAGTTTCACTGTTGTAGCACGAGATTATGTTTTGTTATCTTTATGTTATGTGCTACTGTGACGTTGTTCGAATTCATCGTTTTGTTTATTGCACGGTTCATTTCGAATGATAATCTCAAATCGTTCACGAGTAGCAATTATCATTTATTGGATCATGCTTTGAAGTGCCATCCAAAAAATCATGGTCTGTTTTATATAGATACGGGATAGAAGTACTTCATCATCAGATCACATCACAAGTGCATCATCTAGTGAAGAAAGAAGTATTAAAATATTACCGTCGTCATATTCAGTTGACTTCTGAATAAGTAAATCGCTTCAACTCGATCCAGTCAGCTGAAGTCATCTTGGCATGTCTGCCGTGTCGGCAATACAGCATGACTGTCGTCAAACATCCTCTTTATCAACTGCTGTTACTACCAATTCTGCTGCTGCTGCTGCTGCTTCACCTGCTCATCACTACGNTGCTCCTCATTTTTTAGTATCACTGAAATATCCGATTAATTTTGATCATCAATTACCGCATGTGTAAGTTTTATAGTAGTGTTCTTCTTATGCCCCAAATTGTCGAAGTTTTCGTTATTGTGAGGGATACAGATCAGAAACTCATTTCTTCTTTCACGATTTTTGAAGTTTCCCATCCATTCATTTTCTTTTCAATGTTCCCTTCGAATCAAGTCAGTCAGATTGATTCATTCACAAACATTTATTCTAAGAAATGCACGCTGTTCGTTCGAACATATGTAAAAATTTGTTTTTTATTGCCAAAGAATTTGTTCCATTGCACGTTTATGATTGTGCATGATTGTACGTACGGCTGCCATTTGCATAAAGCTTTTGAAAATTTAACGCGAAATTATATAGGTGAGTACATCATCTACTCTGTATGGGCACGTAACATGTATTGCATATAATGTTATGGAAAGAATCTACATCATGCATGATTGGGATGGTGGGTGACGTGTAATATATAAAGTTATGGGCGACTGAATAGTTTTATGCTGAGTTGTTAGAGTGTTTACGTGTTCGAAGCAGTAATTCATTGTCGTAAACGAACAATGATCGAAAGGTTTATTATTCGGGTGTATGATTTGATCTCAACAATTTGATATTATGGTTAATAGTTGGGAAGAAGATGCGCTAATTTGTGTCTTTTTCTATCATATTTTCCTTCCTTAAGTACCACCTCTCATTTTTCGTGTTTCCTCTTCTTTTCTTTTTGTTCTTATTTAGTAGATTTACGATCTCATGTGAACTGCTGCTGTTGCTTTCATGCATCTTCATTACAGTTACGACACTGTGTATGTGTGCATATGTGCGTTCTTTATTTCGTACAAATTTTTTGAAATGCCATCAACCAATAATGATACCATGCCGTCTTGCCTGCATTACTATCCATTCGTCTACTTATCTCTTTCATTAACCTTATTTTTATTCATGTTTTGAATTTTTATTTCTAATTTATGACCACTTCAGCTCAGGAGCGTATTATCGAAGCAATAACAAGCTCTCATATTTTTCGGATGATTAAATTTAAACTACACGCATAATTTACAGATTTAAAGCATCCATCATCTGTGCATATGCGCAAAAATATATCATTTGCATGACTAAATTTCTCGAAGCAGCCAACTGTTCTTGTTATCGTTAAATTTATGTTATGCAAAAGGGTTGCATCTAATTTCAGTTTTTAAGTTGATTATACTTGAAAGTAAACAATTTGTTCAAGTGAACATGAAAGCGAATGAGTAGTGCTTTCCGAATGTTATGAGTTGTCAATAGTGTTTATAAAAATATTCAATCAATCTGATGAAATTTGCTTGTATTCTAAAAAAGTTTCTTTTGAGACTATTATCATTCAAGTCAACAAATTTATTTCATTTCATAACGCTTAACGGTTATTACTATTCATGAACGCTCGAAGAAATACATTGTTTATAAACAAAGCAAGGTAACGCTCCATTCAGACCAGATATGGAAATAAGTTTTCATTCTGATGTTCAAACTTCATTAACTAATTTATGTTAATCATGCTATCAAACCAGTAACGAACAACATTTCAGAGTGATAATAACAGTGCCAAATATTGCTGTTCACATTGATTTCGGTTTAAAGCGAACTGGATTTTGTGTGTGTGTGTGTGTGTTGGTGTATGTGTGAGAGCAAGAGAGGAACATAGAGAGGAAATGCATTCTTAGTCATGAAAAAATTTTGTATGAATGAAGTGGAATGAATAAATGAATTCATTACTGCTTACGTGCTGTTAATTTACTGTGGGAGACAAAATACTGATGATGATTGAACGATTGAAGTTAAATGCGTTTAGCGATGATAATGTTGAGTTGAAAAAATTAGTTGTTCGATAAAAATTTTATTGTTGACAAATGTGAATAACATTCATGTGTCATAGCGGACTCATTAGCTTGTTACCTTATTTACATATGTTTGGTTCTGTTCTTTAATATCTTTAGCTGTAAGTTTGAATGGTGATGATTAAAGGAAACAATAATGTTTTGGTGCTTTCATACGAATCATGGGATGAAATTCTTAAGCTTTTATTCTATGAATTGTGTTAATAGTGTGGTTGCTGGATGGTTATATGATGTTGACTATAGTAATTGATTTATGTTGATAATAAAAATAATGATAATAATAAGAGTAATAATTGAATTTGATCAGGTAATGTTACTGACTGAAAGTGATGTCTGGTGTGTGCATTCGATTGATTCTTGTTCATAATATCTCATTCATAATATTGTTATTGTTGAATTTGAATGAAGGGAACGAACAGTTTTGTTTGTTTGTTACGCAGTTAGTTGTCAGTGTAAATTATTATTCAAATGCGTTCCTTTTTCATAGTTGGCACTGCTGTACATTTCATTTGGGAATGCGTACTCACTCAATGCTTTCAATTGCTCAATTCTCTTAGCTTACTTTTATGAAACCTTTTGAAACGTATTACCAACTATTGTTGTTCTTCTGTCATTATTGTTTTTATCATTATTATTATTGCTAGTTCTAATACTATGCATATTACTAGTGTTATTGTTACGGCTGATATTTTTCAAATCATCAATCACTTTTTATTGTCACCTTTTTTCACCTCATTGTTCATTGTCATCACTTGCATCATGCATACGAATTATTTTCTTGATTTTTTCATTCTCGATTTAACTTCAAAAATTTTCATGTCTTTCTTCTTTCACGTTCATTCTTTCATTATCAATCTGTCATCTATCTGATCGTTTTAGTTGTTTTGTTTGAGAAAAAAAAAGATAATACATTTGAATTGTATGTATCACGTTATTCTTGACGCTTCTCTCACTTCTATGGTTCATTTCTTAAAAGGGAGTTTTGATTGGTAGTGTTCGACTGCCATCTTTTTTCAGTGTCAAAATTCGAGCCGTGAATAACTTTGGTGGATAAGTGACATCAGGCGAACCGTCACAGTACAAAGAAAGCCTAATGCGAAATTCGTGAGCAGCTTATAAATTGTTAGTGGAATAGATAAAAAACTGAACTTTTTCGATGACGCAGTTCTGATGGCTCTTTCGTTGCGTGCGATCATTTCGTTCGTTCGTTCACGTTGAAGCTAATCCATGCAAGAAAACAGCAACGAAATATAGTGATCCGCATGTTGCTTTCCCGTAAACTGTCGTCATCTCATCTAAGTAGTTTCAATGTTCGTCATCTTAAAGCCTTTTTTGTGCTCTTTTTGTTCACCACAATTCTGTAACCGCTGATTCATTTTCTACTGCTAATGCATATCGAATCATATTTCTAGGTTATTAAATAATCCATTCACTTTTCCACTACCAGTAACTTTTGAAAACTGCATTTATATAGGGTAATACAATGTAACCGTTATGCATATGTTCACTTAAAGACGTTCATTACCACGTTGCTTTTTCTTCGTCGAATAATAGTATCGCTGTGGAATAACGTCAGTTAAATTAGTGTTTTACCGGCAATATTTATGCTGTTTAGAATGAGTCTTGTTCCTAGCGGTAAACGATTGCTGTATTAAATAGCCTGGCGTATTTGTATAGTAAACGTCATTTATGATTATACTCGTAGTAAACGTTGTGTGGTTTATTGACAGTTAGGTAGATTAATAACGGGGCGTNCGTTGTGATTGTTATTTCACACATCATGTAATTTTAATCTTTATATTGTTATCATTGATGAATTCGGGTATTGGCACTACCATATTATTACTGTGGTTATTTTATTATTGTTTTATTATCATTGTGATTATTATTAGTGTTATTAATAACACTGTTATCGTATAATATCACTGCTGCTGCAGAATTTGACGAGAATTTTTATGATGAGAGAATGAGAACATGAATAGAACAATATACCTACCTTAATTGAAATAATTGTTGATCGTATTCATTCAGTTTTGTACGTAATGGTTATTGTAACACATTTGAATAGATGAGTAAAACAAGATTAATTCATTTGATTCGAAGTGATCATCGTTTGTAACTTGATCATACAACAAACTGTTGCCTGAAGTTGATTGATTTATCAACTAACAGCTACTTATCAATCCATTAATCTCTATGATCTGATCTAATCAACAATATGGGATGGTCAAATCACGATGCTGTTATCAGTCTACGTGCTATGCTAGACGAATGGAAGCATGCGTTTGACAGCTGTAATTTCATTAAATTCCAACAACGCAGGTATATTTCCTCGTACGCATTCGCTCATTTACGATACCTATTGAACATTACACTCGTGTATGCTGTCTTCTAACATTCATTTCTTAAATCGATGCTATTATTGGTCATGTTTCACGTTGTACCGATATAATGACTACTCAATAAGGATGGGTAGATAACTTCAAATCTAATGCTTGCAATGGGACATTTTGGTGCCAGACGTTTTGATACAAGAATGTTATGTTGTAGTTAGTGAAATTGTTCAGTTTTTTGGGAAACGAAATAAGTTGTTGTTTGAGACAGTTGACTTGGCTGGGAATTTTCAACAATAGAACTGGTAATTTGGGTTGCCGATATCAAAAGTTGCTACGCCCGTTCTGATTGTAGAATCCACCAGAAGACTTGACATAGCTGGTATTATTACGACATGCAGTCAGATGGCATATGCGCTCGATAAAACATTTACTTGAATGATGTCATCTATTGTCTGAATAATGTCATCTACTTCGTTCATCTATTGTCAGTAGCGTTGTACTCAATCTTTCAAAGAGCATTTTGATTGTTAAAACTTCATGAGTTGTAAAGGCGTCTATCAGGTAGGAACAAACGATAGTATCAGATAATGTATATCCATCTGTAAAACTTTGCATCATCATTCCCAGTTTGTAGTCAATTTTTGACTCATCTTTTCTCACGTTGTTTTCTTCGGAAGTTTGGTTCAACAACACTGTGTATTACAGTTGTGATATCGTCAACCAAACGACATCTTACAAACGCGGCACTAACTGAGCAAGACACAATATTTTTCAGTGAGACAACCAATGTTTCACGTGCGAGTGATTGTCGATACTATTCATTGTCTTTTTATCTGCCTCTTTTATATTATTCCGTATGCATCAAATTATGTATCTCAAATCTGGGATAAGAAGAAGTAAACTGTTGTCATTATTGTTTGGGTAGCATCACCTATGACAGTAAATTGATTTTGTAGTGAGTTGAATTCACTGGCTAACTGGTGACAGGAATCAGTTTAGAAATGTGATAAATTATTAACTGTTACGATTATGAAGATATCGAAAAACGAAACATCTAAAAATGAAACAGTTGTGAGATCACATTTTATGATATTGTGAATGGACTGCTTTCAGAACGATTGTCTTCTTTCCATGCAATAATCTACATTTATTTCTTTGTCGTTTGAATCTTGGTCCATGTTGTGCTAGTTTACGTGGTGCTAGCACTAGCGCTGATCCTGTCCACCAACCGGTGGAATGTTCTACTGTTGAGTTGCTGAAATGCATTTGTCAGTTCATGATGTTTTCAACGAAAGAAACAGCATTACTTTTGCACGTAATTGAGGCAATAATGCAACATATTCGCGTTATCATAAATTGGCTGACGTTGAATGATATTCCGGCTCCGACTCGATAGCATTAATGACATTGGTACACCGTTTGGTTTCGAGTGAAACTTTGCTCGGTGAGCTGCACTCGAACCTGCGACACACCAGTTTCTGTTAGGCATTAAATCTGCAGAAATAGTTTGCAGTCAGCTCATCAGCGCCCATAATGCGGAATTGATCTAATGAGCGTCAAACGTTAATCGGAATGAGCTGATCTGTTCCCAGTTATAATCACATAAGTAGATGACAGCTCAGATTAAAGTATAGTTTAGGCTTAATAACATCAGTGACACTGACATCAAACTTTTGTTCATTGTTATGCTCTTTCTTGTTCAGTTTCTGAAAAAATTTGGTCTCAGACGTAAAGAGCTCAATAATTATTGATGAATGATTATAAGCCACTGCTAATTCCTTGCAACTTAGGAACTGAGATTTTATTTCTCTGTCATGCGGCATTGAATCATCTGCTCCTTGGAAATCAGTGCAAAACTACTTTTTACAAAATTTTTTACGATCTTGTTTTAAAAAAGCACATGCACATCTGAATATGATATAACAATTTTTGAAGATTGTTTGCGTTTCTTCATCATGACTTCCATCAGTTGCAATAAATTTAGGAGGTCGCGAAGAAAGGGCGATGTGAATAAAGAAAATCGTACTGTAATGGGCACTGCGCAAGCAGCTGGTAAAAGTGCTACGATTTGCTCAGAGACGACTGGTGGTACGCGTAAATCGCCTTCTGAAATGGGTATCTGTGATTCGGTTGATGATCAGGTCAGGGAATCGTTGAAATCTCATTATCTTTCTTCTCATTTTTTGATTTTGAAAGTCGAAAGATTTTTATTCATTTCACTGATAACATATCACTATGTACACTGTTGCCGTATTGAGCTTAACGGATTTAAATGTTCGTTCTGAAGAGATGCGTATTATTAAAATTTTATAGATGCTTTTACGATTGACAGCACTCCCTCCAGGAATGGATCGAAACGAGTGGTTGGCCACGCACAGTCAGTTATTGTTTCACTTCGTTTTGTAACACGTTATAGTTTCATTTATTGCCATTTGCTGTAGTCAAATGATTGCTGTTGTATTTACCTTTCGCCTGTTACAAGGGGTACGATTTGTGCCTTTGATGAACTATGATAATTGGATTGAGAAGATTTCATGTTCCTTGCATTCTTCAAAAGGTAAATATTCTGTAGTATACTGGTTTGAACATTACATGAAATATGCATGTTTTCAGCGTTGTCGTTATTCGAGAACGTGAATGCGTTGTGTGGCACCATGACTGAACTATGCACTCCAGTTTCATGTCCAATAATGTCATATCCCGGTGTACCGTAAGTTTCTTTTATCATCCATCCCGTCAGTCTTCCTGTCCGAGTTGGTTATCATAAATGCAGTGACGTTGACGTCTTAGTGACGTTGATGTTTGCTTACTTTTAGCTGCCCAGCGCACATATTATGAAAAGACCTAGATGAATATTGGACCAGTTATAAATTTATTGGTGTCTGTGATCATTGTTTAACTCTCAACTTTAGATTTATTCATCAGAAACGAGCATGCAGATATTGATCAAAGGAATAACTAAATCGAATTTTGTTTAAGAAAAGCACATTGGATCGACGAACGTAGGAAGCAACATCCTTACTCGGCGATGCAGTACATTGACTGTGTGATGTCTCTTTGCGAAATAAGTACAAAAGATGAACAACTTTTCCCTACTAAATACGGTTAGTATCTGAAACATTCAATTGATGATATTTTATCAGTTTCACTTGGATGATTACTGATGTGCTTTTAATACAACCATTCATTGCTTATGCTTAACGCCAAAATTCAGGAAGTGTTTTTGCGGGTAATTTTGAATCTCATTGCCGTCGACTCGTTCGATTGCTTTGGCACTGCTGTGGGCATCTGTATTCGAGGCATTGGGAACAGTTGGCCATGCTGAACCTTCGAGCGCAGTGCAGTCTTGTTCTTGCACATATGCATATTATTGCAAAAATGTATACTCTTATTGATAGTAAGGAATTATCTGCACTCACACATACACTCCAGGTTTGTTTCTTTTGATTATCGCCTCTGCGCAGCACTCATCATGCTGCAAATATCAATCGTTACTGTCATGCTTTCACTTTAAATGACTTTCTGAAGGTATGAACAGCTCGAGATTTTAATGCGTGTTGTCTTGTTATACTTTTTTGTTTGATATTACAACAGTGATACTGTTGCTTGAGTGGAGTTAGTTGATTTGTAATTGTTCGAATAGATTGATTGAGTAGGTTATTCATTCATTAGGTAATACTGATAATGTTTTGTTTGCAGTTGGTACGACCGGTGATCATAATGCACCATGGTGGAGGGCAATTTGCTGGTGGTGGGTATTCATCAAATATAGGCTCAACGAATGTATCGTCAAGGTGTTCTTCACGAGTGCCATCTTCCAAAAGTGGTAGTTGGGGTGGTCACCCTACACCAGCCGTCCTTGCTTGTAAACCGTACGCCCAAACTTGTTAATTAGATCAATTAATTAATTGTTCTCCTACCAGATCATCATCATTCACTCACTCCATTACTCAACGCTCCTACTCTTCCTTCGTTATTCTCTTGCTCTCTCTCACATTCGTTCTCGTTTGGATATGTATTTTCAAGCTGAAGAATTCAAGTGATAAGTTGTATGAAAACAGTCTTTGAATCAATTCCTAGCTGTAAGACTTCATATAATTCGATGTTTCGAAAACATTAATATGACAAACTTAGCCAAGCGCTCTTCATATTATATTCTTTTCCTTGTACTATTCCTTGTACATCACATCGATATGTCGTTGCAGTTTGATTGCAGTTCTTCTCAATGACTTTTGTTTTTTTAATAGTTTTTACTCTCACTTTTTTTAATTGACGTTCTGCGGGCAGCATTTTTTGTATTGCTTCAGTTGACAAGAAGCACCTACTCATTTTTGCATAAGTTGATTGTATGTGCAGACAATTCTTTTGTGATGTAAAAACGTTCGTTGTTTTGGTCTCTGTGCGTTCCTTTTTGATAGAATTATGCTTATTAAGGGACTTTATTCCTATGCGAAAACAATCAATTGTTTCCCTAAAATTATTCTCAAAGAAGCGTAAAATTTGCTCTTATTAATCATTTATGGTCGCTATCATTACCATTGTTAAATAGTGGAATTGTAGATTTAATTGATCCAAAAAATACTCGTATCGTTTCTAGATGGGTGGCTGGCATCTTTCCGATGCCGCCACAGAGCGGTTGTGTCCTTTATCAACGGATTTTGCGGATTTTTAAAATTCGCAATAAAATTATTCGCTGTCATCGTTGACCACAGACCAACATATTTCATTGCTACAAGTTTTTACTTGCATGCAAGCACCAATGTTAGCAATATATGATTTGCTTATGGAAGTGAAAAGAATCAAGTTTTTAGTGACTGAGAAACTTGATTGTAATGCCATTACCCGTTGGTGGCATACAGTTATGACTAATTAACAATGAAGTGTGAATTTGTTGTCATTATTTAGCTGCATGAAATATTCTGCATTGTTTCGCTGACTTCTGTTTTCAGATTTGTCATTCTGCATTATTTTTTTATGAAATTGAAAGCTTATACTGTTTCGAACGTTATTTACTATAATGAGTCAATATGGGTTTGGTTTATGGTTTTTCCAGATTTTGCAGATTAAACACAAATCACTACGTGGCTTTGCTTAGATTTTGATCACTCGAAAGTCGTGCAGCATAAGGGAAATTCTTTTGTGATATCTGAAGAGAGCGTTTGAAATTGGTCAGTCGAAGAGGAAACAACGATTTTTTTGTACTGAAATAATCCCAGTAAAAATTTAGTGTTTTGAATGTTGTCAGTCCATATGTTTAATACTTCATCAGTTTGTCCATTGTTTTTCTTCAATATTTTAAACGACATGCGATTGTCAGCCGTTCGTTTATGTTATATGATGTATTGTGTACATTAAAGATCCTTTTACATTATTCATTTGATATAGTTGTACGCTTAACTTGTAAATTACTTTAATGGCATAGCAGCTATGCTGTATGGTAGGTGATTAAATTAATAAAGATTAATCAGTTGAATTGTTGTTAACTACTCGTCATACATTCCAATTTGCTGATTCATTAATAGGTGCATCCTGTAAATTTGCTGACGTCCGGCAAAATCAGCAGTCATGAAAACCGAAACGTTGTGTTTGAAGTGAGGGTCGCTTCCGTTCACTATATTGTGGTGCAGGCATCGGAGAATTTAAGGAACCCCGTCCCCGACTTTTTTCCGTCCCCGTTCAGTATCACTGGCATTCCATGTTTTGATCTGTTTTCGAAGTTGTTTGGAATTTCTGTATGCATTTCTCATTTAATGTACGCACATAAGACAGTCGGCCTTACAGTTACTCCTGTTTTTATTACTGATGACCATTTTTTAGCCAACCTCAGTGGTCCTTGAATGTTTTAACTCTATGAAAACCATGCATTGAAACTTGATAAATAAGCAAAATGTCTCAAGATTTCTGTAAATCAACCACATTGATCGCTTTCAAGTAATGTATGCGTTCCAGAGTTACCGATACGTAAGTGAAGTGGATTTGCTTATCATTTATCCAGCTGATTTCAATTCTAGTTGACTGATTGACTCATAAAATGCCGCATTTTCAGACGGAAAATAGATGGCTGAAAAGCTAGCGACCGTGTATTACCATGGGAATAAATAGACTTGATGCTAAGTAATAATGCTTCCATTCAGCCGTCTGAACTAAATGGATCATAGCAAAAAACATCCAACTCCACCTTGATGGTAGCAATCGTCCGAAGCAAGCATTGTTTGAATTTTGTGCCATGGAGGCTGTTGCTTTATCGAATACTGTCCTTAACAGGAATATTTCTCTTCATTTATTCTGAGATTGACAGATAAAACTTTTCATTCTCTCGATAGTCTGCAAAAACAGAATAGCGTCTCAAGTACGATGCTTCTTCGTACATGTGTGGCCGGCAGATTTAACCTCGAATTCGCACTAAATTTATCTTGTCCGGTCTAATGAAATATTCCATTTTCCACGTATCCCAAGTTTTAGAATGTCTTTTATTAAAAATGAATTTCGAAAATTTTCAAAAATTCTCAAAGGTCTATAGGTAATCCACTGGATACTTCTAAATAAAGAAGTCACAATAAGTTATACATCTGAGGCAGGGATTAATTTTTACTTGAACTCTGCATCGGAAAAATATGCAGAGAGAGAGAGGGTTTAAACCTCGACAATGCATTTATTTGGTCAGATTTTTGACAAGAATGTGAAAAATCGTAGGGTCGGTTTGAATTTAAGTATGTGAGTAGTGCTGTTGATCGCAGAGTAAAAGAAGAAAATCAATAGCATTTAGCTATCATCGAGTTCAACAATCAAGGAACTACTTCTCAAACGTGCTGAAAATCAGTCATCTCCGCTTTCATAAACGTTCTCAGAGGAAGTCAGGTATACTAGATAGCGTATACACTAGATGGAATTTATCGCAATGTTGTCTGAAGCAGCGATAACACCTGAAAAATACAGCATGTTAAAAGATCAGTAAAAAAGTAGTGAATAGTGAAAGTAACTATAATTCTGAGGTTTACGCTGCTGGATCTTGATCTATTTTTCGAATCTTACTTTAGTTTTAGATTAATCATCTTTGTTTAACAGTTTCAACTAACACTTTCGACGCGAATAACCATTTATTCACAACATCCGTATTCTTCTTCATAAACACTTCATCGACTGAGTTGATGTGTAAGAGCATCTTCAATAAAATGCAACTTTCATGTGCTCTTACTAACATTCATACGACATTATTGCTGATCGTAATATCTCGTCATGGAAGCAGTCAATTATCACCAAGTAAGTCAATGCTAGATGGCAGTTGACGACTGATTTTAAAGTTTTACTATTTACTATATCAACTTTTCTCGATGAAATAATTTATTATATATTCGAATCATACTCTAATAAACAATTCTAATTGCACATTTTGTTGCCGTTTTATGACAACTTGAAACTGCCATGCTCTTTTTGATTCATCCTGTATGAATTCGAGCATTATAGTCATCGAAAGTCAGAAGAAATGTTCATGGAATACCTCAACCGTTGTTGTTTACAAGTCTGCCATAGTATGGAGTGCCGATATCAGAATCTAACGGAAGAAAATGAGCATGAGAGCATCAGGAAGGGCATCTGGCATAAAAATGGTTTAGATATACAAATTACAACGGAAGCAAAATCCGCTGTGGCGATCTCGTTAGGAAAACTAGTCGAAAGGACGTTATGTAATGTCGATGAAATGATATGAATCAGTGGCTGATCAATTTTCAGATGAAAGGTTGTATAGCTCATCACCGAAGTGCTGGTGTGCTGGCATTGAAATGACAATTGATGGTATAAGACACTGCTTTGATCTAGAGAGTGCAAAGCAGAATACATGGATAGAAGCTAACGATGAATGTGCCGCGACTGGGGGACATTTGGCTCATATTCCGAATGCCGATGTCTACAACAATTTGTTACCATATTTTAAAGATATAAGTTTTGCTGCAGCACTTGAACAATTCTTTCTTATTCAAAGCTTTAATATTTTCCAGTAATAGTGAGAACTTACAAATTTGCTCATCTGAGTTGATCATATCGTCAGACAGTGCATTGAATACACTAATTTGGACGTAGTCATCAGCTGACAGTTCTGCTTGATCATTTTATTTGGGAATTTATACGAACACCGAAGTCGATTGGCTCATATTCCGACAGCTTTTTTGACATTCTATCACCTTAATCTTGCTGATTGTCTCACTTTTCAAAAAATGTTTTAGAGATATGCAGCACCGATTATGCTCGGTTACACAGTGGGAAATTCTCAGCGGAAAATTTTGGCTGTTCTTTGTCCAGACAATTCCTTCAAGTCTCTTCTCACAAATAATTTCACAAAGCAGCTGATTTCCAACGTAATGAATCATTTCTGCTGAAAACAATTGTTAAATACTTTATCAGCAGTTTACTTTATTGAACGTAATTCGTCTAACGAAAATTTTCATTCTACACAATTATTGAAAATAATCAATCATTGTTTAACAAGCGAATATATGAATGCTTAATTAAAAGATGTTCCAAGATAAGATGAAATGACAATAGTCTACGCATGAATCACTCACCGAACTTGATGACTTCAACAAATTGGAGCATCGATAAGAACGAAATTAATTCATAATTGAGCAAGCGAGAGAATTCTCATTATATCAGATCAAGCCATCTCTACGTTAATAACTTACTGTTTGTGCGTGAGGAATGATGGGCAATTTTATACAGCTGTGGAATATTCACAGGAGCATTTTACCATCATTAGGTCTAAGTAAAATCGAGTTTAGACACTGCCTCACTCATAGGCATAAGACATTTAGGCTTTTAGTCAGACTTACTTACGTCTCAAAACGACTAAAATATACTCATGTGTACTGCTGCGCTCGTACGAGGTTTACAGTCTGTCAGGATACTGGTAGAATGCAGCAGGGAAAGAGAATTTACCTCAGAAATCATATAAACAATAAACGTTTTCTTATAGGAGCCAAACCAAACAGACCGCTGCGTTTTCATTGGAAAGCCTGATTTCAAATTACACTTTCTCCCATGTGATATCAAATCTCAAGTCCTTTGTGATCGCCGTATCTTTTTTTTGCCTTGGTTTTTTTCTATTGCAACGTTTTTTAAAGAATTTCATACTTCAAATACTGTTTCATTTTTGCCATCCAATTTTCTAAACCACTTCAAGTTTCCCGTACGTTTGACTCTACTGTATGTGTTGCGATGAAGACTGGTTATGAGAAGTGACTTCAAATTTCAGAATTTTTCACTTTCAGCATATGAAAATGATTATTGCGGGATATCAGCCAACTGCACTCAAGCAACAGCAACACCAGCCCTATTGTATGTTTCATGATTTAATTCTGATCGGTTCAATTAGGTACGACGATGAATGTTTTCGTGAAACTGCCGCATTTTGTATATTCCTTCGTCTCAGACAATCTTGCAATCATCAGAAAGAACTAGTGAAAGAAAGATAAGATGAAGTTTCGTGGCGTTTTTCAAGTAAATAAGACACATATGAAATTGCTTTCACGAATCGCGAATAGCCTGTTTCATAAAGACAAATCACTTTATATGAGCTTCATTATTCTTGCCAGTTGCTATTTTAATTAACTGAACACTGTCTTTCTTATGCATGATAACATAGGACAATGAGCATACGCAGTTCCTTGTATTTTGGGGAATTATTGAGCATAACCGATAGGCAATGACGGGGGACTCGTGAACACGTGAGCAAAAGGTGAGCGTGAGCAGTGAGCGAGCAAACTCGTGAGCACTGAAGATGAGCAGCTCAAAAATTTCTGCTGAACACTTAAGCAACATTTTTCCCCATCACTAGTTTTGCATGGTACACTAAAAAAAATCTTAGCATTTTCAAACAGTTTTCAATGTATGCACAATTTTAGTGATCCTTATAAGAATGCTCATTTCGGCTAACGGCACTAATTATAGATTGGATGCCATCGATGAAACGAGCGAACATCGACCACCCATGGCGACAACCGCACGAAATTCCGACGAAAATTCCTCCTCATCCTCAAGTGAGCATTTTTCTAGACTGATGTGAACGAATGGTTTTGTTTGAATTGAACTCTTTAATATATCACTTGAAAAAAGTCAAAGGAAACTGTTATGTTGAAGAGTGCCAATTTGGATCAGTGTACGTTTTCGGTTGGTGTCTTCCATGGTGGATTTTCCTCATCTTTGCAATACTCCTGTTGTTGCTGGTGTTGTGTTGTATGGCGTGGATCTTACATTGTTGTTGCAAAGTTCTGGTTTGTCGATGGTACGTTAATAATTAGTCGATTTGGAATGAGTGCTTCAAAGAGAGTGAATAAATATTTGATAAGTTATTAACTGAAAGGTACGTTTCTATCGTTTTTTTAAATGAAAGAAGATCATCTACTCATTTGAATGTATAGCAAACACTTTAAGAAGATAAGATTGATTGGCTTCACTAAGTTGACATTTTTTCCAGCCAAATGAAAATGGCCAGTGTTCATTCAGAGCATAAATGCAACCAGACCGACTTCAGGACGCTTCAAGGTGGTCACTTTCATTCCTGTTTGGAAAGGAGGGTTTTGCATTTACCTCAATTTCTTTATTCAGTCAGGCATCTTTGCCCCATTTAAACTGACTGTCAGAGCAAACCAAACGAATTGTGGATTAGAACCAATGCTCTTCATTCGGAAATTTCCTCATCGATTTGACCAAAAATTTGAACTTAAATCATTGGTTATCAAATTTTGCCTTTATTATTATTAGTATGCAAGTTGATTGTGACTCTCGCTGGTGGCCAGGTTGACGATTCACTCTGTAATCACAGCGTCAAACGATTTGTTCGTGATACTATTCATTTCATCCTTCTATAGAGATTGAAAGCGGAAAAGGTGAAACATTATTCACGGAAGATTCGGACGATGTGATTGCTCCGTTAGCGGTAACCGAATACGAGAATGCCCAACACGATTACATACCGGCACCAACTGAAGCAGCTCCAACACCAATCATTTTCGCATTATCTGATGAGGACAGCGAGCCCCAAAATAATCTCAATAATGCTCAACCAGAAATTCATTACCAACAAAATAGTTGTTCTTTCACAATATTTATTGTTGTTCTTGAATCAAAACATTCGTATTCTTCAAAGATCAGCTAAGAACAGATTTCCACCAATTATAGCTATGATTATTAGAAAGAAGAAAAAATCGAATTTTTACACCACTATAACTTCTGTAATATAACTTGAGTTCAGACAGTTGTATAGTTCCTAGAAAAGTACTCGGGGGCAATATAAGCTTGCAGACCGCTTGCTCACATAAAACGTTTTCCTCAGTCCCTTTAGCCACTTCATTACTAATCATTTTTATTATTTGTTATACGGCATCTCAACAATTTGCGGTCACTTTTGAGTAGTTAACGAGAAATCCTTCCAATGGAACCAAGGTTCTTTGATTTTTAGAGACTGAAAGCTTAAAAGATGAATTAATGATGCCGGATGCTAATGATTGTTTGAATACAACGAGAGAGAATTTCGAAGAAATGCTAAATAGCAAAAAAACAAAAACAGCGGATGGTATTGATGAAGAAGCGAACCACCATATCGAGAGTGATTACGAAACGAACGACAGCGAAGCAAATCCGATAAAGAATAATGAAAAAGATGATGAACAAATCATCGATGTGTTACCTGTACCTGAAATTCAACCCCCACCTGTACCTGAAATTCAACCCCCACCTGTACCTAAAATTCAACCCCCAGCTAAGTATGCTGATGTAGAGGAACAACATGCAGATACTGAAATAGGCCAACAACAGATAACATCCTTGAACTTGGATGAAGATGATAACAATATCGATGAGTTGATTGCCAATAGCAATCGCAGACAAAATCCAACCAATAACAGTCATCAGAGCAATATGTAGGTTCCTCATTCTTTAAGCGCAATCACAGCTTCATTTAGCTCCAATCAATAGTTCAAAATGTGATCACTTACGTCTTACTGTTCTCATACTTATCAACGTTAGATCGCTGTCGCCTCAAACAGATATTCCGCATCAAACAAATGGACAGAAGTTGGTCATTCCCATTGAGCCTACTCCACTACAAGCTTCCAGCATACGTAATCGGCGAAGTTTTGCACTAAACGAACGCAACGGGTCACCAACACTCTCTACAATATCCAAGGTTATTGCTTCTGTAGTGTCTTACCTTTGGGCAGACTTTCACTATCAAAATCACCATTGAATCAAAGAAGTTGATCGACCTAATAAGCAAAAAGGAAAAATTCAGAGTTTTCTGCGAAGGTTTGCAAATTTAAGAATGCAAAATATGAGGGGTCTGTGAAATGAATAAGTGGTTGCCACATCGACATTTTTTTTGTGTTTTCAACCATAGGATATATTTCGTTCATTTCGATATAAGAGTTGAATATTGTGGTTCGGTTTAACTCTTGCGATAAGCAACTATGAAGCGATGACATTTTGAGTTTATTGCTTGTTACTTATATCTCAGGCACATCGCTTTTTATGTTGATAAATGATCAAGATAACAATCTTAATCACGTTTTTGTGTCTTCGTATGCCATCCAAATGTGCATAAAGTATCAATTGAGCTGGTTGAGGTTTCGAGACACTTTCCGAAACGATCACGCACCATTTCACCAAGTACTGGTGACAGCGCAGTTTCGTCCAGACAAGAAACGCGCGGATCATTAATTCCATCGGTGTCGCGTTCATCTGGATCACGGCTCACCAATCGATCGTTCGCGAAAAGTCGGAAAGTTGCAGCAGCAAATCCATTTTTACGCCGATCACGAGGCGCACAAGGAGGGGTTAGTTGCTTTAAAATATAAAAACCGACAATATTCATTAATAATGAGTTATTCATGAATGCATTTCAAACGACACCATCACAATAAGGCGATTTCATGCACTGATGATTTTTTGCGTAACTCCATAACTATCGTTAATGGTCATTTCTGACGTACTCAATGAATTTTAACGTTATACAATAAATAACATTTTTTGTTTTTCTCACAGGATTCGTTTTTCAGTGCAGATTCGGACTGACGAATCACTGCAATAAGCGTTTATGTTATCACTGCTATTCTTTTTTAACGGTCATTTTGTAATTTCTAGGTGGTGAGTCGAAACAGTGCGGTTAGTCCAGTTGCTTGGAAGCCGTGGGCGAAGTCATCAAAACCTTTTTCGGACAATCCTGGTTTTCTGGATAATGATTAAAAGTGAAGAAGCGAAAATAACCGAACTGCAACGCTGAAACTCATGCCTATCTTTACACCCTCTCATATAGGGTCTCTTATCGTATTCTTTTAGTCTAGAAATGTATCAAAAACCAGTAGTAAAACAAGTCTATGTTCTTTGAAGAATGTAGAAATAAAATTTAGTAAGTAAGTATGTACTTGTTCTTATCGAATTAATGTGAACTAATTAAATTAGAGGAAAATGCATTCAAGTAACGGCTTAGATCGTATATTCTGAATACTAATTTTGTAATTCATTATGATCATACACAACAACTCAATATTATACAATTCAAATGCATGAATGCAATGTTGATAATAAAAGTGGAATGTATTTGTTGTAAACAAAACATCAGATTGATGTGGTCATAATTAAACGTCGTGCAGCATTAACTGCACGCTTGACGGGAACATACACATTTTGTGATCAGTTCAGCGAAAATGAAAATGTTGAATGATTCCTAACAAGTTGATCGAGTAATTAGGAGTTATTTATGAAGGCAATTACGCTGCTGCAACAAAAAGTACTGTAATAATATATTGTTTCATTCATAGAATATGTGGGCAAAGGAAATGCGATTAAGTGATGCGAAATCGAATGACGAATCAATTGAGTCAGTCAGTAGATAAACTCACTAATTAGATGTTTGGACAAACCTATGGCGATGTATTATAGATACGATGTTGAATTACATTCAGATTAATCGAATCTTCCTTTACAGCGATACATGAAAGAGAGCACGGGTAGATCATTTTTTGTGCGTGACCTGCTTGCTAAGTCTTTGCTTTAAATAGGCTGTGCAATTCCATTTTCCATGCTTCACTCCATTTATGCTGTCAAGATCACTCTGCGAAGCATTCATCTTTTACTGATTTCGAATTGCTCGAAGTCTCAGAATTGTCCGAATATAATGTTGCATCGTTACCTCATTTATGAAGCTAGTTTTACAATAATGCTGTCCATTTTAATGTTCACTGTTCAATAGAGTATGAAATTTTGTTAGTATGCTGTGCAATTTCCTTACAGAAAATTCATACCAAATGTTTCCTCAAATGTGAATATTTGTTGGATTTCGAATTCACATTCAAGCCTTCTAATGAATTACCGAACTTCAGTGCTTGCATTTTAATATGTGGTTGAAATATTTTGAAATCAGATCTTTCTCCCACTATTCTCCGCTTCCAGTCTATCTTAATTTCAAATTTTAACTACTCAGCAATCATCATTGTCAACTGATCATCCATGATGCATTTGCATACCTGAGCCTTCTTTACACTATTTGCCTAAGTTTCTTTTCTCTGAATTATAAATGATTAACAGTTGGTGTACGAAAGGAGTGAATTTTATCAGGAAAAGATCAAATTGGATGCTTGGATCTTTCAAAATTTTATACTATCATCTTTTCATAGCTGTCATGAACTGAAACGAAATGATGCATTCGATTAAGTGCTTAGTAAAGGGAATAATGTTCGTTGGCGACTTTAAAATCGTCCATGTATTGTTCGGAATCGTGAGAATTTCGTAAAAATCGAATGAATCCATTAACATCAAAAAATCTAAAAAAGACGGTTATTACTCTTGATGACACTCACTCGTTTACCCATTCTGAAACTATGCCACCTCTTCGTTCACGATGCTGACTTCAGTATATTGTGAAGATAGATGACATTTTCGATATTTCTTACTACGTTATCAAATACTCAATAAGCATTTCAAGCTTTGTCCAATTTTATTTTGGTTTTAACAGTGTGTGCGAATTTCCATTACTTCATCGCGATTATTCCAAATTTAAGCGTAGAAATCATTGTGTGTATGGTGAATCATGATTTGTTTCTTATTCTTTATAAAGAATTTTCAAGTGAGCCAATTCAGAAAAAATTAGTTTCGCTTTATTGCAGAAGAAAAATGTTTTTGCTTATTGATGAGCATTATCCAGTACTGAAAGTTATAGTTTCTGCTAGTATCGCAAAAAAGTTAAACAGCTTTAAGTACAAATCTTCAACACGGTTCCGAATTTCAACAGAATCTTCTTTCAAAAATTCTGATGATTTTGATGCGTTTAGGGATTCATTTTACTACGAATTAATTGCAGGTTTCATATTAGGTTTATCTCTTGTCGCTAATGAGTCCCATTTCTAGTAGCAACAAAAGTCGATAGCCATATTACTAAAGATGCCGTAATTGTACATTAACAATAACTAGATCAGTAATGCTGATGGTGACGATAAAATAATATTATGATGGTGCGATAGTGCCGATAATGGTAACAAGTGTAATAAGAAGAGCAGTAATCATTATAATAACAGTTGAAATATTAATAGGTCATTCATAAAGCGAACAACGAACAAAAGCAAGAGATGAGTAACAATTGTGCATTCGTTTTGACGATGTTCATAACTGCTCTATTTGTTGTTGCCGTTGAGGCATCGTCTCGTTTCGACGACCATCCAGAATCGATCATATCGGTTATTCGAATTAACTTTTTTCGTTCATTTTCCGCTATTCTCTAATAATGAATGATGCCAAAATTGGTTCAATCTGCCTTTGCTTATTAAATTTTATAAAATGAATCATTTCGATGCACTTAGTTGAAAAGAAAAAACTAATGATCAAAATAAGTAAATGTGATACCATCGCTTATAAATATGAATCAGTAAGATTCGAATCATTTCAACGCTTAATTCTGAATTGGGCATCGTTTTTTTACACACCAAAAATTAGTGCCCCAATGCAACTACCTTTATATATCAGTGCTGAAGAAAAAATGATCTGATACTCATGAAAGCGATCCTCTGTAGGTCTCCTTTCTTTCGCATTTGATTTGTTGTGATGATTCAGTTAAAAATAGTGCGGAAACTGGGTGATAAAAATACATATTTTGAATTATCATTGTGAATCCTTCTGAAGAAACAAAAGTTTGTGAACGAAAATTATTTAGCGTCAATTGAGCTATGGCGAACGAAAATCAGTCATGGAAATGTAACAACGAAAGAACTAATTTTCGATGATTATGATTTTTATTTAACCAGCAAGTTTTTCAATGGAAAACTACAAGAAATTGCATGATTCGGCTCTAATTGGCAACCAACCCTCATTGATTATCATGAATGAGTTGACATTAAATTTTTTAATAATATGAGCTTCTTCTTTTCAATATGGCCACATCATCCAACTATGTTTCGTGGTTAAGTTTTATTTTGAGAATGTGGTTGAATGCGATTCAAATGATGTTTCAGTAACACTTCTCAGGTGGGATTTCATAACTATGAATTGACTATGTTCAAAAGTGAACGACTTAAAATGATGGTTTTAAATTGCAGCAACGACATCAAAGAGCGATTAATCCGTTCACAGACTCGATTGGCAAAAGGAACACAGGAATTGTCATGGATCGTGAACTTCCAAAACGATACTTCGATGCACTTGCCGGTCAATCACTAGGAAAACGTGCTTCACCTATCTTTTATCTTGCTGATGATTAGATCAACGACACTTACTCACTCACTATTCAAACTCTTGCTTAATTTTGAAGAATGGTCTCACATTATGTGTATTGTAGTATGCGAACGACGGCCCATTCATTCAGTTTATTGTGTTCTCAATCGTTTTTGAATAAAACTTTCCATCGTTGCTCTCGTAGACAACTAAAAATTTCAGTTGTGCTCATTAAATTTATCCAAAATCGATAACCACAGAAAGCTTATTTTATGTAAATTTTACTTCAAATTATGATCTTTCGTCATTGCATTAAATTAACGCAGTTTATCAAGTTCTGACTTGCAACAGATTGAAACAATTCATATTGTATGAATATCAACCAACGTATCCATTGGTTCGAACTTATCCCATATAACGGAATTGTGGGTTTAATATTGTCCTTTGAAGTGATAACTGTTCGTAGACTTGACGGATTCCAGTAAGATGTGCATATGAAGGCAAAGAATATGTAGTGGATTTTTGAGCGTCAGTACTTGTTTCGAAAAGCGCATAAATCTGGATTTCATCGCTAATCTCATTTGATTAGTAATTTTATAATGCATGAGTTACTAATGAATGCAAACTTAGACGCACAGGCGGCTTAAAGATGACAATCTAAAAGTGTGGATGTCAACAATGCAATGAGTGTACCATCACTGAACTGAATTCTTCGTATCACTTTCTTCTTATCGTCTTGAAATTTATAAATTGTCTTGTTTGTGCAAATGATTCGTCTCTGTTCAACGAATGATCGAGTATTTTACCTTTGTTTCAAAACACGGTGAATTTCAAATTCATCTTCGTCACAGTTGCGAATCGCTTTCCAGTTGGCCTATGCAAAAAATATTCTCAAACATTTATTCTCAATAGATACTTTAAACTGCTGCTTCGAATAAGCTCCTTGCTCATTTCACTACAGTTATTGATCCATTTTGATCATTCGACACTCTTGATCCCGCAATATCCTAAATGAATTTTTTTGCACAAACTCTGACATATGCAAAAATGCTACGTATGCCGCTACGTATGCTAAACATTCATGCTGATTGTTTCTAGAGGAAAAATACAGATCAAGACCAAACGCATGCAATTCTCACTGTAGTCTCGAAAATTACTCCGCTCTTAGGTGATTGCTGGAAATTGATGTGCTGAAACACTATCTAATGCATGCTGACAGGAAGAATTAAAATGCTAGAAACCTGTTATGAAGTGAAGTTTTCATAAGTAGTAACTTCAAAAAGGTGTACAGCAAAAGAATCATGTTTTAATGATATAAGTGCATTCAGAGACACTTCAAAATATGAACGAATAAGAAACGAAAACAGTAATATGAGAAAACGATGGTTCAGTTGAAATTGTCGATGCACAGCATTTCTGAGTTCGATTCTGAGTAATTGGAATATACATTCAATTTGGATTTCAGAAGGCAGATAAGTCTCAGTGAATTTCCTCGAAAAGACGCTTGAAACCCAAAATAATTTATGCCAATCCTCCTGCAATGA